AAGTAGGTTCTCCCTGTAAGTCTTCAGAATATTTCCCCTTTCTGCCTATTTGTTGAACCCATGGTTTCTGATGTTTGGACAATTGTTCTACTTTTCTTTATTTTTGCTAATTTTGAGAAAAAGTGAGATCTGGTCAGAAATGCTATTTGCAGACCATATCTGTGAAAATTGGCCCTGGCTTCTCGCACTGTCAGATTGAGTTGGCAGTTGCTGCTCTTTCAGTCCTTTGTTCAGATTAATAGCTGGGGTAGAAGGGGAAAAGGATGGTAATTTGTTATGTTTTATAGCCACCTCCGTATCCAAGCACGCATCCGTGTGTTTTCATTCTGCTGACCCTGATTATTGTTTAAATTCTGCTGTGTTATCTCCTAGCAATATCAGGGTTCTTCTCATCCATGCATTATTCTGTTCTCTACACAGTCTGATGTCTGAAGCCATAACTCTAGGTACTGTTAAGAGCTAGTGAGAGGAGTATGTTCTACATCTATACATCTATGGGTTTCATCTGGTAGGTTGAATTTGGACGGAAACACAAGAAGAGAACATTCTGGCCCCCAAATATAGAACCTGACATTGAGTAACAGTAGTCTGTCTTCTCCTGTTCACAAGAATTTAAACATGATTGGAATTAGGTCTGGAGAGTGAGATTTCCACAATTTACACAAGAGGCATTAGATTACATTTAGATTAGATTTAGATTCTGATCTATTGTCTTGACAACGTAGAACTAGAAGGTATCTACTTTGTTTATACCACCAGACAGACAAAAGATCTGTTTGCTCTTCTCAAAGATGTCAATACCCCCGCCTTCAGCAACTTAAGTTATAAATTCTACGCTAGAACTAAGCTAAAGAGCTCAGTTTCTAATGTAAATATTAACTGATGATTCTCATAGCTGGCTCTACTTCAGTGTGTACACACTGCCATAAGGAGATATAGGGGTGGGGGTAAGCAAAACCGACAAGACGGTAGGTGTGGTCTGATTCACATGCAGACAAGGGAGTAGCCCTCCCCGGTCTGGACAGACACTGCAGTCCTGTTCATTCAGCCCCAGATCAAATTATCCTCTTGGCAGCCTCACACTGGTGAGTCATGCTGGGCTGGTTGTCAACTGCTCTTGGTAATCCTGCTCACATGAGCAGCTGTTTAACTACATCTCCCCCATTCTGGCTAGGTGCAGTGCTGCTTAGAGTCTGAAATGAGTTTGCAGAGCCCGAAATTTGTGTCACTTACCAGCATGGAGAATCAACACGCAGACTAACGACCATGGCATAGAGCGGAAGCCATCCTAAACTGCTATTAATCTGTCCTGTAAAGCTGCAAGTCTGTATAAATTAGAAAGGAGTTAGACATAATGGCCATTTCCTCAACCCGTCATGTCTAGAATCAACAGTATTCTTTGTCTTCCTGATGAAATAAGAGACCACCCACATAGTTCATATCCATATTCTCCCTACAGAGGCCTTGTAGAGAAACTGAAGGATTCAAGCACAGGACATCGGGAAAACTGCAGACTTCTGGGATAGTCACACAGTCTTCCTCAAACTTTGGAACTAAGTTTGTATGTGCACTGAGAAAGTAGCCCACTCCACACTGACTTAAACACACAGAGAGGAAGCTAACATTTGCTCAGCAATTCTCTTCTTAGAGGTAGGCAATTTGTGACTACTATTTTATTTCATCATTATGACAGCTTTGTAAACTACACACACACACACACACACACACACACACACACAGAGAGAGAGAGAGAGAGAGAGAGAGAGACAGAGACAGAGACAGAGAGACAGAGAGACAGAGAGACAGAAAGACAGACACACATTCTGTTTTTTAGGCAGAACTGATGCAGTGGAACAGGGGGTCATGAATAAATGCTATGTCAGACTGCACAGAAAATGACCCAGGACTCAATTTGATTTTCACTTTGTCTGGATTTAAGAGCTAATGAATTAGTGCAAAGTGATTGTGTGAACTCCTCTTAGTGCTTAGAAAGCAGCCAACTGGAGGAGATAAGGTCTGGAGTGGGAACAGTAGTCTGACTCCTAGCAGGAAGAAAGATAGTGATAGCACACTTACTTTGGACTTTAGAATGATGCCAAATGGGTATTCAAACTCGTGTTATGTACTCAAAATTCATTGCATACTTTATCATTTAGTCCATCCAACTTGTGGATTTTGATTATCCTGTAGCAATTTACTATGTTCCAGAGGAAGTGGGAAGAGAAAGACTATGAGACATGGTATAGAGAAAGAGCTAAGAAACATGCTCTTTTGATATAATACAGAAAACACTCTCTTCTCATAAAACATGGCTGTCATACTCAGCTCACTCCAGCTCTGGCACCTGCAGAAGACTTGCATGAGATGTAACTGACGTATCAGTCAGCATTCCAACAGACAGCACAGTTTGAACTCAGTGGATTTTTCATGAAATAATAAAATGAAAGAAATTAAGGGACAAAAAGGTGGGGATATATTGAGGGTGTGTGTGGGAGTGACATGGGAGTTGGAGATAGATATAATCAAGGCGCATTGTAAGGAAAACTGACTATATGATCACAAATTAAATTGCACAGGAAAAAAGACTTACTATGCACTTTTTAAGTTAATTGCGTTCTTTGACAATTTCATATGTGTATATAACACATTTTTCCTATCTTTGTCAGAAAATATGGCTCAAAATTTCTTTCATATTTATGAGCTTTTGTTTTGTGACACAGTGAGCTTAATCAAGCCATTTGTCTGATGGTGGGTTTGGAACTACCCACTGAAGTCTGATGGACTCAAGGATGGAAACATAAAAAAATAGAGTGATTCTCCTGGAATCTGTTAGTTGATTCTTAACTGAGTGTTGGCAGGGACAGGCTTGATACCAATAACTGCAACTGCTGTGAGCTCATAATAGCAAATTATTTCAAAGATATTCATGGCCCTTCTCACTATCTTTACACTTTTACATTCTTTCAACATCTTCCACGATGTTTCTGAGCCTTAGAAAGAGAGGTATAAAAGTCTTGTGTAGGGCTGAGTCCTTAATTGTCACTTAGTCTTAGCATCATTGGTATTTATGAGTCTGTGTCCACCACTATTCATTACAGAGACTTTTCTGATTAAGGCCAAAAGAAATTTTTGTGTGCGAACACAAGTATAACGATTTAGAAGATAATTTGTTGCCTTGTCTATTAAGTTGAGTAAGAGCAGTAAGTTCCCTTATAGGGTCTATGTCTCCCTTAGGGATAGGTTTTGTTAGTTAGTTAGTTTGTTTGTTTTTTCTTTCTGGATTTACAGTGCTAGGCATGAATCACCTCCAGTGTTATAAGAGGAGCAGGCCCTTTGTTTGTCCCAGCGGCCCGGCTAATTTATACCAGAAATAATCACAGAGGAATTGTATTAGTTAAATTACTGCCTAGCCCATTATATCTAGCCTCTTATTTGCTAACTCTCACATATTAGTTTAACCCATTTCCATTAATGTGTGTCGCCACTTGACTGTGGCTTATCAGCCTGAGTCTAACTAGTGTCCATCTCGGGCAGGAGAACCATGATGTCTGCCTGACTCTGCTCTTCTTCCCAGCATTCTGTTCTGTCTACTCAGCCTATCTAAGTTCTACCCTATCAAAAGGCCAAGGCAGTTTCTTTATTCAACCAATGAAAGCAACACATAGACAGAACCACCTCCTACACTACTCCAGTGGGGCTGGATCAGCCGGAGAATGAGTGATTGGTTACCCCTATTGGTTACCAACATTCAGCTATTACACAGATGGGCACATATTGCCTGGTAGGTAGGTATGTTCATAGACTTCACACCTGGTTCAGACTGTTTCTTTCCCCCTAGCAACTTGTGTATGTATGTCTGGGACCATGAAAGTTATTTGGCAAGAGGCTGGTGCTCGAAATCCCATGTGTTCTCATCCATTTCAATCTCAACTTCGTGTTATGTTCATATGTTATGGTAACATGATTTGGATAGAACCCAATGTGCAAGAAAACATTCCTTCAATTTAACCAAAAAGTGCAATATGCAATCCTGATTGCTGATTTAGTGAATTTAGTAATGGTATATTCTAGAAATTCCTTAGAAAGAATTATGGAGCACAGAGTGTTCACATGATGTGACCCTTGAAGTATGGATTATTGAAAGTCATTAGCTTTCATGACATCACAAGAGAAAAAAGGTGAAGATTATTCTGGGAAGAGGGGAACCAGGGATAAATGAGTCATGGGAAATTATTGCTAAGAATAGCATAGTGTTGGCTGCTGCAAATTTATAATACATAAATGATCTTACCAGGAATCAGATCTATAAATGCCATCCAATATTTCTATTCAATTCTATGGTTGACTAGAACTCAAATTCTTGGACACAGTGAGGAGGGAAGTATCTGTGAAAACAAGCAGGAAGGAACATTGGTCTGGTGATTAGTTTAACCAGTCAGTGCAACAGAAATGAACTAATTTGACTAAATAAATTAATAAATTAAAGCTTCCATGATACTTAAGGTATAGAGACCAAGTGTCTTTGTGCTTTATTCTTCCTAGTTGTACAATAGATTCATTAGCCTTTTAAACACAAGCTCATAAGGTGTTTTGGAGAGAGAAGATGTGAGATACGTGTGACAATACTTTGAAATCTCAAATGATTTGTAGTCATTCTCATAACTGACTTAGTTCTCATAACTCTCAGTTGCTGGGTAGTTGCACTCCTATAACTGTGCAGAGGTAAGGACTAAAACAAATACATAAAAACTCAGAATAAATTTTAATGAAGGGCTTAGACCAGGGAAAATGTGAAGTTATTTTTGCAAGACTATGTTCCTGTGATTAAAAGTTTTTACCAGCCATATGCTAATTGCTATATATTTTCAAAGTGAGTAAATTGTGTCCTACTTCCTTACTACCAAGAAAATATATGTCCAAGTCATGCATACCAAAGAGAATTTCCCAATGAATAGGCATATAAAGATGGAAAAGAAAGGGTAAATACAAGAGAGGATACAGAAAGACTGGAACTTCTATGATAACATTTACCAGCATTTTTATCAGACTATGACATGTGGCAGTAACAAAGCAATGATGCAGGAGAAGGAAAACTTCTTTGAAAGTCTGCAAGATGGACAAATTTACATTGTCAGTAATTGACAGAGCCAATTTAAGCCTTTGTCAGAGTCTGAACTCATCCTTGTTCACTTGCCCCAGCCCTGTCTTGCTGTTGCTGTTGAGCGACCTCGAAAATTAACCTTATAAGAAAGATCATTTGTAATAAAACCAAACTCAGAAACCTAAACTTTGTCCAGCTATTAGAAACCAGCTGGTCAGCTGTGCCCTCTTCTAACAGATGTGAAAACTGAGCCCCAGAGGGAAGATGCTTTGTCCAGCATCAGAGCCTTTCAACCCACAGCCAGACCTAGCAGCTCTTCCGACTTATGGTCCACGTGATGGTTTCTGTCCAGGGAACTGTTTCTTAAACAACATCTGCTGTTGTAAAGTCATGTTTGTATCCAGTAGCAGACTTTGAAACTTTCTCCCAGATTCACGTCTCCCATGTGGGCTTTGGATCATACTTCACGGTACAACTGAATCCGTGGATAGGTCCAAACTCAGGTTCAATGACAGTCGTGGTATAAGCTCCAACGTTGCCAGGGCTATAGATAGTAATATAAAGCAGACAGGCTACTTAAGTCACCTGTAGAATCCATTGTGTGGAATTTGAAAGCGAACCTGTCCTGAGAGCCAGGAGATCTGACGCTGACTGTGGGATACCCTTGGCTACTTCTGTGTCCTAAACCCTCAATTCATTTTTTCTATGCCATGGTTCCCTCTTTAATTCTACCTTTGAAAAACAATCCTAGAGAATGCAAACCTGACTTCTGGCATCATTGTGTTACGTGAAAACAGAGTGTCTACATCACCTGCACTTCTGAAAGGGTGTACACATGCAAATTCCAAAGAAAATCACCGGAAAAATCACTGCTCGGTTCTTCTCTTTGTAGTTTGGTTATTTGTAGAATGCTACAGAAATGCAAACATCTGGCACATGACTTTTGAGAATGTAGTTTTCTGCTCACTATAATTTTCTTGATACGCATCCAAGTCGTGTATTTAATATCAATAAATATTAATAATTATTAATAAATAAATAAATATCAATAGCTACTTATTTTATTGCTGAGTAATATTCTACTCATAGATATATCATCCTGCTTCATCACATGGTCCTTGGAAGTCAATTTGACTTGTGTTCAGAGGGTAATTACTAGGCGTAGAGCTGCTAACACTGTGTTCAAGTTTTCATGAGACCATATTTCATTTCTTGGAAATACAGGGCCACAAGTACCATTGATTAACCAGATGATAAGAATGTTTTCGTGTTTATTGTTGTTGTTTTATTTTCAGTGTGATTTCACAAAGTGACTGTAGCCCTTGATATTCCCACAGGCTTAGTGTGGGAGCCGCAGTTTCTGTGTGCTCACCAGGATTTTATGGATGTTGGCATTGTTTCGCTCCAGTTCTACATTGAGATCTTTAGTGACCTTGCGATATGCTCATAATTTTTATTTCCTTGGTAACAGCAGCATTGAACAATGTTCAAAGCTTATTCAGTATCAAAGCTTTTTCCAGTGATGTTGGTCCTCCACTTTCATGTCTTTTGCCTTCACTTTAATGGGCAATGTTCTTTTTTACTGTTAGGTACTGAATGTTCTAGATACAAACCCTTTTCAGACATGTTCTACAAATTTCTTTTCCCATTTTGCAGTTTGCTTCGTCGTTTCTGCCATAGGGTGACTTTCTCATATCAGAAGTTCTCATTAGGTTCAGTTTGTCATTTCTTTTCTTTTTGGGGGTATCATATCAAAGAACTACTCACCCATCCCTGCTTATAGAGGAATTTCTTCTAGTCTAAACTGTTCGTATTTTTATCTTTATATTTAGATATATAATACATTTTTCTAGTTTTTAAATTATATTTATTACCTCATTTTTTTGCTCGTGTGTATATGTTTTTGTATGTATATATGAGCATGTAGATGTGTACCTGAAGAGACCAGAAGAAGGGGTTGGAGCTCCAGGTAGCTGGAGTTACAGGTAGTTGTAAACCTCCTAAAATTTGCACTGGAAATTCAACATGGATCTTCTACACAGAGAACAGTCCTAATGCTGAGTCATCACTCCAATTACTTGCCAGATTATATTTTATATATTTTGTTTTCTTTGCTTGCGACTATATCTTGAGAAAAGAAGAATATCTATGTTTCTTTCAACACATCTGAATTTAACAATAGGTAGTTTAAATTGTATCATTTTTGTTCTCTTACTAATTAAAAAATTCATTGTATTATATATCTCTAAATACAACTTATCCTTAAATGACAAGACTCTTAGCACACCCAATAAATTAATGAACAAAATTCAATCTAGATGTTCTGATTCTATTCTAGTTAGTATATAGTTTGTCTCCATGTCTCAAACTAAATCCAGTCAGGGCTCACTCATTGGTCTTCAAAGGTTTTTTAAATAGACCCCAGCCCCATTCTCTCTCTTTTGCTTCTCATAACATGATGATGTATTGGAGAGAGGTCAGCAGTTGTCCTGAACATCTTGACTTTCACGGTCATCAGAAAAGTTATGAGGTTTCACTTATGGGGCCCAGCTGAGTGAGAAAGAAAAATAGGATGGTGGAAATAAACATTACACAGGTTTCATTCAATCTAATGAAGCCATTTCTTAGCTACTCAATATGTGTCTCATACAAACCACACCTTACAGAGGCTAGACGTTGGGAAGCCCTGTCCCCGTCTCAGGGAAACTAATGTCTGAAAAAGTTACAAAATATGACCAGAAGGTTTCCAAGAGGTCTTCTGGGGAAAAGAAGCAAGGATTGAAACCCAGTTTGATTTAGATGGTGGTAAATAGGTATGGGGGCACCGAGGTGAAGATACCACCTTAAGTTCGTATGTTCATTCACTAATTCATCGATTCGTTGAATTATTTTTGAGTCCCGTGGGTACTAGAGAAGTAAAATTAACCAGATAGAGTAGTGTGCAACCTCTAAACTAGAGGTGATACTTGTTTCCTCCCATAATTGAGTTGTTTATTATCGCAGTGATGTTAGGCGAAGATATGACAAATAGTGCAAATCTAGATGAATTAAAACAACTGGAATGCTTTCCTCTTAAAGTCATAGAAGCTGGAAGTGTAAAGTTAAGGTATGGATAGACCCACGTGCTCCCTGGTAGATTTGTGAAGGGTATTGTTTTGTCTTTCCCCAGAATCTCCCGGCTGGTGGTAAGACTTGGAAGTCCTTGACTTGTGGATTCCAACTTCAGCCCGCGTCGTCATGCAACCTTCTTCTTTTCATATCCTTGCTTTACTTGCACAAGGACGCCAGCTGAGTCAGATCAAGGTCCCATCTACTGTAGACTGATGTATGCTTAAATTCAACTTTTCCCCATTTCCAGTGAAGGTAAACACTAGGAAGTATAGGGTTAGGACTTCAACACTTGTATCCATGCTTCGGGTGACATGACTCAACTTATAAATTGAAGGAACTGTACTTATGAATACCTTCGGTACAACTTCCTTAAAAACACTGACAGAGTTTCCGGCAGAACAGTGCTCTGAACCTAGATTGAACTATACAGTCCCCAGAGAGATAGAGTCTCCCAGGACTCCAACATGAGATTTGATAAGAACAACCTATGATCCTAGAAGTTTTGTGGTAAGTGTGCTCTTTTCTTTTATCATTGAAAAGTAACGGCACATTTCATGATACTATGTGTAGCCATCATATATTCTGCGATGGTAAGTTGAAGCTTTGAAAGACCAGCATCTATAGTTGGATTTAACAACAAATTTATATGTCTGGTTAAGGCGGGCATGTTTCACCACTTAGAGGTTTCTTGGCAACTAAGCTATTTTTACCTAGAGAGGAAAAGAGGAGCTGAGGGGTATTTAAAAGGACAGAGTCCCAACTGTTTGGAATTACGAGTCTGTGTCCTTGTTTAATGGCTTCCTGGACAGCTGCCTCCCCCACTAACGTAGCTCTGGAGTGCCTCAGCCAGCACACACACAGTCTCTCTGAATGACTTCTCTGCATTGACTTAGGGTGTGTGTGTGTGTGTGTGTGTGTGTGTGTGTGTGTGTGTGTGTGTGGTGAAAGGTGCCAGGAGCCCATGCCTAGCATCTATGATTTTGATGACAGGCTTGTTAGATGACAGAATGCTGCGGGAAAGTGAGTGTGATTCCTACTTTAGGGACGCTGCAATTTATTTCAATTTTTATTTAACAAACAGTACCTGAATACCACTGCAGTACCTCAGCTATGTGTGTCAAAGACTCACCTTACCTCAGAAAAATCTTCATTTGTGGTTCCTTAAGCTTAGCTAATAAAACTCAAAAGACAAAAAAACAAAAACAAACACAAACAAACAAACAAACAAACAAACAAAAAACAGCTTGTGAATCACCTGGTAGCTGACTTTGACGTTTAGGTCAAATTATTTTTGATAAGCCCTCTTAAAGCAGATCGGTCACAATTTCACTGTATACTGAGGATGACCTTGAACTTCCTCTGGTTCCCACCTTCCAAAAGCTAGGAGTAAAGGCATGCGCCATCCAGCTCCATAATGGGGAACTGCGGATGCATAGCAAGGCCTGTTTGCATGTTAGACAAGCATCCTACCACCACTGAGCTCTGTATCTCCAGCCCTTACCATCATTGTTCTTTCCTCTCCCAATTCCCAAAATATCTCCCGGGCATATATAACAGTGCCTTGTTATATATGCACACATATGTACACACATATATCGATTTTTTTAAATTATAACAGTATCTTTTCTCCCTTTTCCTCCCTTGATCTTCGCCGTGCACCCTCTCCTTGGCACAGCTCCACTCTTCCAGCCACTCACCACCCTGAGCTGTCTGCAGTCGCGGGTTTCTGTTCAGGGTGACGAAATGTTTAGAGATTCTTCCCTCAAGATGATGACGTAGAATCGAGAAGAATGAACAGCATTTTCTCAGGTGCCTTTGCTCAGATCATCAAATTCTCATATCCATCACATGGTTGCCGCTCACAGTCATAATCGCAGGTAGCAGTCTATCAAGTGTTGTGGTCTGGTCAGTGCTTTATTGTGCTTTATTTGGTCCTCGCATAAGCATTGCCATCACCCTCTGAGGGGGCAGGAAATAAATATTCTTTTCCACCCGAGGAAGACCAATGCAGCAGGATGGTGAAACTCGGAGCTTAGACATAGAGCTGAGCATTCTGAATTGAAGTCCCTGCTCAATATACGACTCATTTCACCCAGGGCACGTCATTTGATAGCCCTGTGTTCTATTGTTATAATTAAACTGGGAGTGATGATTATGATAAGATTACCCGTCTCATAGGAATATTGTAAAGATTAGGTTTGAAAGCATGCAGGGCTTTGAGCACATTTCAGAGAACATACATTCAACAAGTGTTTGTTCTTTTATCTCCACTGATTAGATGAGGAGAGAGATCCTGGGGAGTTAAATGACTAGACTGAGGTTGTACAATTTTTAAATAGACAAGCTGAAATTTAACCATAGGCAATTCGATTCCCACAGCTTTTATTCAAAAACCTCCACACGGAGCATCTAAATAGGACTTAATCGTGAAACCCACAAGGCATTGAAGAGTTGGCACCATGCCACCTAAATCCACAGGCCAGGGACTGCCATAGATGACAAGGCATCACAGGACATCCCAATGGGCTGGTGTGAACGTGAAATCCGATTCTGTTGGGAGATTTCTGAGACACTCTCCAAACCGGGTGGAGGCACTCTGATTTAAAACCCTTCCAATCTTGGAGCCTGAACTGCAGCAAAGGTCAAGAGTTGGGATATGGGAATCTCTCCTTTGCCTTTTGGAGCCTGAGCTAATCAGAGTTCTAAAACGGAAAAAAAAGTAATTGCAATTTTGCCTTCTCTTTTCCTCTTGGGTTAAGTAGATTTGCCTGGAGGACAAGCTGTTCTGACAATGGGTTTGGAAAAGAAGCTGGACACCCAGGGTGGTGGAACACAGTCCCTATGTCCTGAGACTGACTGAGTGAGGCTGCCCTGCTCGGGTATTTAGCCTAGGTGTTGAAATGAAAAACTAAGGCAGGCACGAGCCCCATAATGCACCCCGGGTGCTCACCTCATGAATATCTCATGGATCCAGTAAGTCGCAGCTGTGCCCTGACTTTTGACAATGGAGTTTCGGTGACAAATAAAAGCAGTGACTTTGTATTTTATAAGAACACATACTTTTTTTCCCTTCCTTGTTATTTTTTATTATGTGCATAGACCTGAGCCAAGCTTTTCTAGGCTCCAGGAGTTTCTCGTTTTGCTATTTTTTTCCCCACCCTTCTTAAAACTGGCACCGTGAATATTGCATGACAGAATTGATTCAGAAGCAACCTTTAAAGTTTCAACTTGGGAGGCGGGGGGCTAGCCAGGCTTAAATAAAAACCAGCACGGCAAAACCGGTGGGGGTGCTAAGTTTGAGAAGAAGCTTTGCAATGGAGACTGATTGCCAAGGACCCTCCTCTTTATTAGAAGAAGTTTAGGGGCCTTAATTAGGCATTCCAGGTCATTGTGTTCCATGTATAAGGCAGCTGACTCCTTGATTTGATGTTCTAATTTATTTTTAGTCCAAATGTAAAATCTGATAGGTGCCTTTAAGAAAGCCCCTTTCCCTAAGCAGTGTTCGTTCCTCCCATCTGCCACATATTCTTCGCTGTCACTGTCTCCCTCTTTATAACTCCTCAGTTCAAGCCACTCCACTGGGATTCTTATGACTGACGTATTTATTTTTACAGTTTCTGGAATTCTGGCCCCAACATCCAGCTCAGGTCTGTGAAATACAGTTAGTTCCGTGGGCCTACAAAACAGCCCTGAATCCATGAAGTTTGTTTTGAGCACACTCAAGTAGGAGCAAAGGATTTTAGGGATTTCCTCATTCATTTGACCTGTTATTGTCTCCAACTCCCCATGTAACTGGAAAGTGGTTTCAAAATATTCTGTGAACTATATCCTGCAATTTGCAAATCATTCCTTGCAAGTGCTTTAGATTGTCTGAGCTCGAAGTTTTGGTTTTAAACATTTTGTGTTGTGATTTTACGATTAATATTTTGGTACTGTCGTCCCACAAGGGAGCTCCCTAAACCTCATAGAAAACTATCCTGAAGTATAAAGAAGTATTATAAGAAAGCTTGAGGGCTCTTGTATTCCCCCTGATTACCAAATAGTGATCAATTTCTTGGGGATTTTTAACTTCTGAATTATCTGTGCAATTACTTAGAAAAGAGCAAGGGTCACACCCTTTCACTCTTGTCTTTCACTCCCTCTCTATTTTGTCACCTCACTTTCCTTTTCCCCCACTTTCCTTCCTGTCTCCCCTGCTCTGCTGTGCCAATTCTAAACACCCCACGACACCTGTGACTTATATACATAACTCTGCCGAGTATGATTCAGGACCAGCTACAGAATTACTGTCTATCAAATCCACCCCTCCCCTTAAGCAATTTCACTTTGCTTTCTACGTGAGTAGGGTTTTCTGGTAGAGGGTTCAAAAAGGGGATTTGCTTCCTCTCTGAGCTGTTTTACCCAACAAGAATCCTACATGTAATTTTCCAAAGCTAAATGTCTTTGGTGAGCATTTTATGCAGTGCCAAAACCTGATAACATGTGTGATTTCCCAACGTTATTATGCTGAGAACCATGTGGTTCTCCTGGAACAGGTTCCAGCATCCATAGTTTTCTGCTGTACCCTGTCTGAAAAGTGCATGACCTCCAGCAACACTCATCATGGAATTGAGCTGCTTTCCCTGCAATGCCCTTCAAATGGCTTCATAGATAAGAGCACCTTGGGGAGAATGCTTGCCCTTAAGTGGTTTTTGGGGAGCGAGCACTTTGGACAGAGGGGATGTTTCTGGTTTGATTTAGCTTGGTGATTGTTTATGTCAGTCTTCTATCACTCTGACAAAATACACAGGGTAATAGAGTTTAGTTTACACTTTCTAAACCTTCAGTCTGTTGCTGCTTGGCCTTTAGTTTGAAGATCTGTAGCATGACAACACATAATTGCTATAGTTATGTAATAAAGTAAGTTGCCCACCTCATGGAGATTGGGAAGCAAAACAAATAGTAAGAAAGGAGGCCAGAGATGGAATATCTCCTTCGAGAGCACACCCTTGGTGACCCCAATTTCTACACTTTGCATAACCCCTAAGGTTCCACCTCCTCTCATTAGTACCAGGATCTAAGCACCAAGCCTTCAACAATTTCAACCTCTTTCTCTCCACAGCTTTTTCCAATATTCCACAACATGCTGTTTATTCTGCCTTTGTAGTTGGAATACAAATGATCCATTTGGTCCTGACCCCTTGCAAGCTAGATTGATGCAACAGCCTCTTCATTTGTCCCGCTGCTCCTCTGCATGCTCTCCTGCAAGCTTTTCTCTATGTGGTGGCCAGAACTGTGGCAAGTGTTGCTGGAAGGATGACAGTGGGAGGGAAATACGTGGTTACAAACAAACAGCATAAAGGATTCACATAATGGGATTATAAATTAACAGAGGTGGCAAGCAGATCACACATAGAATTAATCAGAAATAAATACTCTCTCTTTCTTCCCCCCCCCAAGTATAATAAGAGATACCTATTATAGATTGAAGGACTACACCAAACTCACTTTGCTGTTCATGGTCACATGTCGACTAGGACAGATTTACAAAACATGACTAGTAAGAGAATGGGGGTAAAGAGGAAAAAGAAATGGGATCTGTCTGAATTATTACTCCGCTCTTCAAATCCACAGTTGTCTTACATGAAAAGTTGCATGTAAAAATTTTCAGTTCCCCTTTGTGGGTAGCAGATGGGGGGTATTATAATCATGCTGCCATTAATAACTTGTATTCAGTAGAATGACTTATCTTGCTTGGAGAAAAGAATCTCTTGTGGGTTTTTCTCTGAGAGAGAGAGAGAGAGAGAGAGAGAGAGAGAGAGAGAGAGAATAGTAACTGATTGGCTGACCTTATTTAACAAAGAATTTTATTGCCTTAGAAAGAAGATGTTAAATTTTTAATTATTAAAGACTTTTTGTAACAGAGAAACAGACTGGCCCCTAGCAACAGCACCCCATTTTCCCCAAAGAAGACAGAAGACAAATGGGCACAAAACAACACCCATCCTCAATTTGCTTCATCAAGTGAAAGCGTTAACCACTGTGTTAAACTGACTTTTATCTAAACTGAAGATCTCCAGACAGTGGACGAAGGAAAAGAGGAATCAACGGCAGCCTAGCTGTGTAGGGCAAGGTGGGTTTATCTTCTTACAGATTTCCTAACCCACAGTATCTTCTAAAACCTGAAAGGCCCTGCACTAAACAGCAGAAGACAAATACAGTCCTGATACGCTGCACTTGATGATCATGGAGGACCCTGAGGAGTATCTTTAGGTTGCCAATCAAGTAAGTTCTCTGTCACAGCCTTGGCAGGTCTGAGCATTGTCTCTAGGTAACTAATTGATTAAGTTCTCTGTAATTTTTCTAATCAATAACTCAAGTAAAATTTTATCCTTCTTAAAGATTTCTGATGCAGTTTGACAGCTGAGAGGTTTTGTCAGTTTAAAAAGGACAACCTCGCCAAACAAATTTCAGTTTAACTTCTTTTCATGTTCTAATTAAAGAATGTTGTAAGATACCAAATGCAAGTTAATAAGGTGTGTGCCTGCAAGTAATAAAGGTCTGAGGACAAATGCAAGTTATCAAATCTCACTGTCATGCTGCCTTCCATAGTCTTAACATCATCATTGAAATGCTAATAAGTTATTAATCTAATCCTGTCAGAGTACTAATGCTACCACTGCTGCCTGATTCAGATTTGAAATTCTGTTTGGTAATTTTTTAAAGAGCTTCTTCATTGTACAAAAATATATGTCACAGTCATTCTGGCATAAATACGCTGCTGTTTATGCAATACACATGTCTAAAACTTCTGTTTTCACAAACTCAAAGAATTCTTGTGAGTTCCGGGGAGCCAAATTGAATGATTCATCTTAAATAGGTCAAATACACCTTCTCTTCTGCTCTGCCAACACATTACCAGGTCCAAGATACACTGGACAGCTCCACATCACAAATCCTGGACAGGAGTGGAGCAATCAGCTACCCTGTGACCAGCATCCCAGATTTCTCAGGTACCCCAAGACTCCTACATCCACAAACAAGCAAGATGAAGTCTTGAGAACTTGATGCTTCATCCCATCAACCTGTGGTACCTAACTCCCCACCTTTTTATTATACGAGAAAGGTGGGAACGCTGTAATCTGCTGGCCTGCCCTGTAACCTGTAACCTGGGTACCCTGTTCCCTGTCCCTTTAAGAGACAAGCCCTGCCCACTCCCCCAATCTCGCCCTTCTGTAGCTTCTACTCCTCCTCCTCCTCCTCCTCTTCCTCTTCCTCCTCCTCTCTCTCTCTCCCTCTCTCTCTCTCTCCCTCTCTCTCTCTCTCTCTCTCTCTCTCTCTCTGTGTGTGTGTGTGTGTCCATCCCTCTTTTGAAGAGGCAGCTTCTGCCTCTCTCAACTTCCTCTTTCTTCTCTTCTCTCCCCTCTTACCACTTACTCTTATACCATTCAAAAAACCAACTAAATAAGCTCTATACCCAAGCACTCTTTACATGGTGTGTCTGCCTGTCTTCTGCCCACTATGGCCTTGGGTCACCGGCATCATGATTTAAAACAGTTGGTAAAATGTAGAGTTTTAATGATCCTCAGTACAGTCTCCTGGAATTCAAGAGAATGTAGGGACAAAGAGAGGCCACAGCAGGCAGTATCTCTGGCTCCTCTGACATCTAACCTACTGATTCTGGAGTGTGTTCACAAAACAAATGTTTTGTCTAGAGGATACAAATGACTGTCCCACACTGGTTCTGAAGAGAAAGGGAAGCATCATGCAAATTTGTACCACGTATTGTTGGAGACACCCACTGCCCCATATGTCCTCTGAAAGTTTAGTGAAGCATTTCAGTGGAGCTCTCTCTGAAGACCTTGAATGTATCAGAGGCTTGGATATCACATACCAGATATTGTGGACAGTTGGGGAATACCAGGCATGTCATCTTGGGAGGTACTAAAACTTGGTACCATAATATAATCTGTTGAGACAAGAAGAGAAAATAATGCCTGGGAAGCAATTCAGGAAGCAATGAAATAGGCTTTGTAGTTATGAATTTTCCAGTGTTTGGGGAAGTTCACTCTTGCCAGGGACAGCATGGGAAATCTTGTAAAGAGACAATTTTCTAATGAAAGGGACAAATGTTGCATGGAACTGGGAAGAGGAATGTGAGGAACAGGAACCTTTCCCCTGAGGCCCTGGCTCCAGTGTTACAACAATCCTCAGCAAAATCGCTGCCAGGCTGCAGAGAAGATACAAACCAGGAGACACAGAGGGTCTGGAGCCCTGAGCGAGGCCTTTGGACTTAAGTTCCCAACTTGGAGAGCGAGATGAGCACAGTGCAGGAGATGCCGTGCCTGCTTCTCTGCCTTAGGCTACAGTTACCCTTCCCTCCTGCTGCCAAGTGTTGAATGACAGTTGAGTTTTTCCCCAGGAATTTCCCAGGGAAATACCTACGCTCAGTTGCTCCCTGTGCACTTACAATAGCCCTAAGATAACTTCCACATAATTACTGCTTGGTACACCCTGTGGGATTACAGAGACACTGTCCAGTAGCCCCTTGTCTGAACTAGCGCTAATCTGGAGGGCCTTTTCATCTCCAGAAACCCTGGGTAATAGACTGAGGCCTCCATTTCCAAAGCATCTTCCATCTATTAGTGTCCCCTTCAGTAAATTACAAGTGGTTTTTTTTTTTCTGTTGTTGTTTTTTGGTTGCACTTAACTTTAAACCATCTGTAAAAACAGAGGTGAATTCTATCTCAAGGAATGTTTCTTGGGAACAAATGTGAGATATATGTAAATATTTACGATTGACTTTAGAGATTTGTTTCCAGAGTTAGAGTCAACAATGATAGAGTCATTATTCCTCACCTGTGTAGTATCTGCCTACAGAGTCCTCGCTTGCTTTATTGGTGTTTTAAAGAAGATGCAATGAAGCCTATGTGAAAGGACTTTACAGACATCATAGGCAGCTAACTCAAATCTTTAGATGTGGCAATGGAGAGACAGTTCAAAGAACAAACAAACAAACAAAAAGCAAACAGCCTAAGCAAAATCAGAATACAGCATCAAGATCGAAGTCCTCCAGGTGTATGCTATGTAAAGACAGATAGTCTAAGTGGGACCCCCTATGCCTACAAATAAAGTTAAGCCAAAGTCACGCTGTTGAAAAGGAATAGCATCTACCCACCCATGCAGGAAGGGGTTGAGGCAGACACTTCCGGAATGTGGAGCATCATTAAGTAGTTCGTGGAAGATGCAGTTGGTTTCAGTAGCCACCATTGCATTACTTCATCGGGTTTGTTTCTCTTGACTTGTATTTGATTAGTGCGTGGGACTGACACTCTATTCCTCTCCTCTTATCTTCCATGGCCTGAGCTTCATGAACACTATGCAGGAGCAACTTTACAGCTACTTTTTTTGGGGGGGGTGCTTGTTTGTTTGTTTTTAATAAGGGACATTAAGCACAGATAGGATAATCAAACTATCTTCTTCAATGTGTAGATTAGTTACTATCTTCATGTAAGTTAATTCTTCTTTGTTTTCTCTAGCATGAACGCTAATGAAATACAATAATATATCAAGGTCTAGAAGCAGAAGGAATGTAACATCTAAGGACTACCACAGTACTGGGTCAGACATTCAAAAGAGGCAAAAATGGCTAGTTAATTACAGATCAAAATAATAACAAGACATCTTATACAGTAAAGCATCATATTTTGGAAAATAATCATATTTCAAAAGCATGGTAAATGGCTAACAAAACATAACTGCCTCGACCCAGACCAACTCAATGTGGGAACAAGTTTTCCAGCCTCATCATTCCTATTGATTAGGGGATATTTTCAAACCTTAGTGAGATTTCTAGCAGAGGCTTCCATTAGTCAAGTGAGCAGTTGTGACGCCCTCCAGATAACTCTTTTCTTGGCAAAGCATGCTGTTGTAGCACTAACTATCCTGCAACTGTTTGAAGAGATCTGAAGTCACTAAAGCTCAGAGATACAGTCATCAGAGAAGGCATTCGAAGCCTTATAAAGTTGCCTAAGCAAAGTATCATGAATGGAAAGTGGCTGAGCTGCTGTGATCATCTCCTATAAATCTGCCCTCTAAAGTTTAGTCTCCCTTCCTTCTACCAGCTTATTCTAAGTAGCAACACGTAAACTAGTTTGCTTTATCAGTGGGTGTAGGGTGGAAAAGAAGGTCTATTATCTGTTCCCATTCTCAGTGGTAGAAGGAAAGAAAGAGGAAGACTATGGCTGGGAAAAACCCCATATTTATCTGACTCTGGAAACTCAGCTGGGTTACATCAACTCTAGAGAAATAATTCAGCCTTTATAGATGCAGTCTTAGCTCGTTGTAATTCTACGGGCTCCTCCTTATCTTGTCTATGAAGGAAATGACTCAAGCATGAGGAGGGAACATGGGGAATACCTACAGCATCACTGGATTCACCCCTTGCCAGATAATGTCATTCCCATGGAGACACTTTCTCAAACGAACCTCATGAAGTCTGGGCTTCTGTCCACACAGTGAGATATCATCTCTATATGCCCAGAAGTAATTTTGGACCGCTTGGACAGTGGCCACCTACTGGGATTGTAGCAACACCAGCAGCCTCAGGCAGTCATTTTCCAGGGGAAGGTCTCTCAAAGTTCTTATCTCCCTTTGTACTCCCCGATTTCTGAGTGTCTTCTGCCAAAGCACTAGTTAGGGAAAGTTAATGCTGACTACAAATCATAACCCAGTACCTATATCCTTGGCTATAAGGAACAGACTTCTTTTATCTTGGGGTAGATAATGGGAAAGTAGTAACCAGGTCCAAAGACAAACATCCTCAAAATCACTTCTGGCCATATGAAGATAGTATCTCATTGTGTGGATGGAAGGCTAGAATGAACAACATCTGTTTAAGAAATGGCCCCTATCTTTACACAACTGGTTAATAAGCAGAAAACAACTGACTATAGGTCTCCCTGCCCCAAGGAATGCATCTGTAATAGGAGACATGGAAGAAGTAGGTAGGGAAAGATTTATAAAAACAAAACAAAACAAAACAAAAAACCCAAAAACAGAGTCCTCTGAAAAATGCTATGTGTCTCCTAGAAATGGCAGGGAGGCTTCAGTCATGATAACACAATATGAATG